ATTGCCGTGGTTTTCATAATTTTTGTAAGACTCAGTTGTATATGGATGGTTTATGTCAGCTTTTATTATAGTCTTTATTGAAGAATTGTTCTGATTTCAGTTCATTGATAGAGTCCTTAAAACCCTGGAAATATAAATTATAAAATTATATGGATAATATGACTTATTAAACTAAAATCTAATATATGAAATGATCATTCGAGAGCTATGATAGAAAGCAGCATATTTAATTTTTTCTTTTATTTTGATTCATTTCTTGAGTAACCAACCTGTATTGTGTCTTCTGTATCTTTGGGCAGAGCTCTACCTGAGTAATACCCTGTTGTATTTTGTACTTCTTGTAGCCTTGACCTGTGACCATCATTCAACCCTGACCTTTTACCTTCACGCGACCTTGGACGGTTTGCTGAGAAAGATTTATGCCTTGTTGCCATAGTAATACTGCTTGTTGATAAATCCTGTACAAATACGAACTAGACTAAATGTGTGTGGACAATACTGGTGTGAAAGAATTAATGTTCCTCATAATTAGGAGAGCCAAATGTATAGTGGACCAAATGGATAATGAGTCTGGATTTAACCTATCACACATTGTTGTATTTGATTGATTGTGTCCTGATATATCTAGTTTTTTTTTCATTTTGCTCTATTTAACATATACTCACAAAAATGAAAAAAAAGATTAATTAATTATTGAAAAATGAAAAAAAGATCATACTTTGGTTGACAGAAGGTCATCTTCTCTGGTAGGCGACCTTGACCTTTCTGACCATGTAGGTGACCTGGACCTTTGATTCCTTGATCTAGAGTTTGACCTTGACCTTGTTAGTTCCCTGATGGCCTTGATATCTGCTGATTCACCAGACCCAAGAACCTAAATTACAATACATCAAAACAAATATACTAAAACTTAAGTAAAGATGGATCCAAAGTTGGCTAGGATCTCCTATGAGCATTGCAGTCAGTGGATACTAAAAAGGCTTGTTCCAACCAAATCTTT